GTGCCAGCGGCGTTCCACACTTCACGTGGTGGCCTCAAGGTGCACATAGCCTGGCACAGGCGTCGTGGTGACGTCACCGCCACTTTGCGGCGAATAGCGGTTGTTGTTGGTGGTGGTAGTGGTGGTAGTGGTGGTGATAGTAGTAGTGGTAGTAGTGGTGGTGGTAGTGGTGGTGATAGTGGTAGTGGTAGTAGTGGTGGTGGTAGTGGTGGTGATAGTAGTAGTGGTGGTAGTGGTGGTGATAGTGCTAGTGGTGGTGATAGTGGTGGTGAGAGTGGTAGTAGTGGTGGTGGTAGTGGTGGTGATAGTGGTAGTGGTCGTGGTGGTGGTAGTGGTGGTAGTGGTGGTAGTGGTGGTGGTAGTGGTGGTGATAGTGCTAGTTGGTGGTGATAGTGGTGGTGGTCGTGGTGGTGGTAGTGGTGGTGGTAGTGGTGGTGATAGTGGTAGTAGTGGTGGTGGTGGTGATAGTGCTAGTTGGTGGTGATAGTGGTAGTGGTGGTGGTCGTGGTGGTGGTGGTAGTGGTAGTGATAGTGGTGGTGGTCGTGGTGGTGGTGGTAGCAGTGGTAGTGGTGGTGGTGGCAGTGGTGGTGATAGTGGTGATGGTTGTGGTGGAGGTAGTGGTGGTACTAGTAGTGGCGGTAGTGGTTGTGGTGGCGATGTTGGCGGTGGTGGTTGTGGTGGTTGTGGTGACGGTGGTGGTGATGGTGGTAGTGGTGGTGGCGGTGATCACAGTAGCTGACACCACCACAGGCACGCGGCCTTTGACTACGACTCTCACCAACAACATCGTGATTATGATTATTATCGATCTTGTTTATTACATGATTATTGATCAAACAAAGGCAAATATACCCCCACCCCCAGGTAGCCTCTAACAGGCTGTAGGGGCAAGTGCTGTGAGTAGCGAGCAGCACCTACAGACACACAGATAAAGGTCCCCCGTGTAGCCTCTAACAGGCTGTAGGGGCAAGTGCTGTGAGTAGCGAGTAGCAGCACCTAGACACAGACAAAGGTCCCCCGTGTAGCCTCTAACAGAGGGGGTGGGGGGCCAGCGCCACGCCCGGCCGCCTTTGTCTCCCCCCCAGTGCCTGCGATGATGACGACACCACCGCACCGCGTGACTCATTTGAGGCTGAGTCGACCTAGGGGCGGAGGCCCAGGACCGGTCCCTGTCGGGTTCGTAGCGCGGCACAGCGCTACCCACACAGACACACACACACAGACACACACACACACACAGACACACACAGACACACACAGACACACACACACAGACACACACACAGACACACACACACAGACACACACACACACACAGACACACACACACAGACACACACACAGACACACACAGACAGACACACACACAGACACCCACACAGACACACACACACACACAGACACACACACACAGACACACACACAGACACACACACACACAGACACACACAGACACACACACACACACAGACACACACACACAGACACACACACAGACACACACACACACAGACACACACACACACAGACACACACACACAGACACACACACAGACACACACAGACAGACAACAACAACAACAACAACAACCGCCATTCGCCACTAAGTGGCGGTGACGTCACCACGACGCTTGTGCCAGGCTATGTGCACCCTGAGGCCACGTGAAGTGTCGAACGCCCGCTGGCAGGAGGTCACGGGGCAGACCCAGGTGCCACGGGTCGACTGACTGAGATGACTGGCTGATGCACCACCTGTGCCCCCTACTGTGCCAACCTGCTGTGCTTTAGCCACCCGGCGCTCCGCTCGCTGTTGTGAGCGTCGCTCCTCCGCCCTCCGTTGTTGTTGGAGGGCGACTGCCTCCAACTGCCCAGTAGCATCCTTCACGAGCCTCCTCCACAGAGGCCGATCTTGACACCGCTGGTACCAGTCATCGGCAAGTCCACTCAGCTCCACGTCCTCCTGTACCACATCACTCCATCTCCCCTCTAGCCCGCGCCGCGCCCGCCCAGCCCCCTCAATCCGGCCAAACAAAAGCTGTTTCGGCATGCGGTGGCTGGGCATGCGGGCTACATGACCCAGCCATCGCAGCCTTGCCTGCCGGAGGAGCTCACCGATGGGACCCTGCCCAGATCTTTCAAGGATTTGTGAGCTCCTCACACAATCCAGTCTGGTTAAACCCAGGATGGATCGTAGGCAGGTCAGCCTAAATGTTTCTAACCGGCGAAGATGCCCCATTAGTGGGGTCCACGTTTCGCAAGCGTAGAGAAGGGATGGAATGACCGTGGCCGAGAAGACCTGAAGCCTAGTGCGGAGCGACAGACCAGGTAGCTTCCACACAGCGTTACGCAACCGATGAAAAGATATTGCCGCTCGACTGATTCGGAGTGAGACCTCTGCTGTTAAACTGGAGCCAGTCATAAGCACACTGCCCAGGTATGGGAAACTCTCCACTCTCTCCACAACTGCCCCATCACCGACTGGGAGTTGTGGGGGTGGAGTGTCCGATGGTACAAAATACCCAGGCAGGTGCTTAGTTTTGGTGGGGCTGATGGTAAGGCCCCACCTCTTAGTGGCACGCTCCAGTCTCAGCAGCAGCGTCTCCAACTCCTCCTCTGACTGAGCAGCTATTACCAAGTCATCAGCATACATAACGTGGTTGAGCAATAGGGAGCCATCCCTTGACCGCACCCGGGCATCGATTAGCCTCCCATTATATCTGTACCATATGGAGATTCCCCCGGTACAGCTATTGAAGGCTTCACGAACTACGTGGTCAAAATAGATGTTAAATAATGTGGGAGCCAGAGGACATCCCTGTCGCACCCCAAGGTGTACAGGGAATGGCTCTGACTCCCGGCCACGTAGTTTTACCCGGGCCCGCTCACCATCATGAAGGTCCTTAATGATCGTGAGCAGAGGGTCAGGTACTCCAAAAGCACGAAGAACGACCCAGAGCCCAGGCCTACTGATGGTATCATAGGCCTTGACCAGGTCAAGGCCTATGATACCACACACACAGACACCCACACAGACACACACACACACACAGACACACACAAACAGACACACACACAGACACACACACATACACACAGACACACACACACAGACACACACACAGACACACACACAGACACACACACACACAGACACACACACACACAGACACACACACACAGACACACACACAGACACACACAGACAGACACACACACAGACACCCACACAGACACACACACACACACAGACACACACAAACAGACACACACACAGACACACACACATACACACAGACACACACACATACAGACACATACACAGACACACACACACACCCACACACAGACACACAAACACACACACATACACACACACAAACACACACAAACACACACACAAACACACACAGACACACACAGACACACACAGACACACACACAGACACACACACACACACCCACACACAGACACACAAACACACACACAGACACACACACAAACACACACAAACACACACACAAACACACACAGACACACACAGACACACACACACAGACACACACACAGACACACACACACACCCACACACAGACACACACACACAAACACACAGACACACACAAACACACACACAAACACACACAGACACACACAGACACACACACAGACACACACACAGACACACACACACACCCACACACAGACACACACACACAAACACACACACAGACACACACACAAACACACACACAAACACACACACAAACACACACAGACACACACAGACACACACACACAGACACACACACAGACACACACAGACACACACACACACAGACACACACACACAGACACACACAGACACACACACACACCCACACACACACAGACACACACACAAACACACACACACAGACACACACCTACACACAGACACACACACAGACACACACACAGACACACACCTACACACAGACACACACACAGACACACACACACACAGACACATACAGACACACACACAGACACACACACAGACAGACACACACACAGACAGACACACACACACAGACACACACACAAGCACACACAGACACACACACAGACACACACACAGACACAACAACAACCGCCATTCGCCACTAAGTGGCGGTGACGTCACTACGACGCTTGTGCCAGGCCATGTGCACCCTGAGGCCACGTGAAGTGTCGAACGCCCGCTGGCAGGTCACGGGGCAGACCCAGGTGCCACGGGTCGACTGACTGAGATGACTGAGATGACTGGCTGATGCACCACCTGTGTCCCCTACTGTGCCAACCTGCTGTGCCTTAGCCACCCGGAGCTCCGCTCGTTGTTGTGAGCGTCGCTCCTCCGCCCTCCGTTGTTGTTGGAGGGCGACTGCCTCCAACTGCCCAGTAGCATCGTTCACGAGCCTCCTCCACAGAGGCCGATCTTGACACAACAGGTAGTGGGGTCAACAGGTGGTGGGGTCAACAGGTGGTGGGGTCAACAGGTGGAGGGGTCAACAGGTGGAGGGTCAACAGGTGGTGGGGTCAACAGGTGGAGGGGTCAACAGGTGGAGGGGTCAACAGGTGGAGGGGTCAACCGGTGGAGGGGTCAACGGGTGGTGGGGTCAACAGGTGGAGGGGTCAACAGCTGGTGGGGTCAACAGGTGGTGGGGTCAACGGGTGGTGGGGTCAACAGGTGGTGGGGTCAACAGATGGTGGGGTCAACAGGTGGAGGGGTCAACAGGTGGTGGGGTCAACAGGTGGTGGGGTCAACAGATGGGGGGGTCAACAGGTGGAGGGGTCAACAGGTGGAGGGGTCAACAGGTGGAGGGGTCAACGGGTGGTGGGGTCAACAGGTGGAGGGGTCAACAGGTGGAGGGGTCAACAGGTGGAGGGGTCAACAGGTGGTGGGGTCAACAGGTGGAGGGGTCAACAGGTGGAGGGGTCAACAGGTGGTGGGGTCAACAGGTGGAGAGGTCAACAGGTGGAGAGGTTAACAGGTGGAGGGGTCAACAGATGGTGGGGTCAACAGGTGGAGGGGTCAACAGCTGGTTGGGTCAACAGGTGGAGGGGTCAACACGTGGAGGGGTCAACAGTTGGAGCAGTCAACAGGTGGTGGGGTCAACAGGTGGAGACGTCAACAGGTGAAAAGGTTAACAGGTGGAGGGGTCAACAGCTGGTGGGGTCAACAAGTGGTGGGGTCAACAGGTGGTGGGGTCAACAGATGGTGGGGTCAACAGGTGGAGGGGTCAACAGGTGGAGGGGTCAACAGGTGGAGCAGTCAACAGCTGGTGGGGTCAACAGGTGGAGAGGTCAACAGGTGGAGGGGTCAACAGCTGGTGGGGTCAACAGGTGGAGAGGTCAACAGCTGGAGGGGTCAACAGCTGGTGGGGTCAACAGCTGGAGGGGTCAACAGCTGGTGGGGTCAACAGCTGGAGGGGTCAACAGCTGGTGGGGTCAACAGCTGGAGGGGTCAACAGCTGGTGGGGTCAACAGGTGGAGGGGTCAACAGCTGGTGGGGTCAACAGGTGGAGAGGTCAACAGCTGGAGGGGTCAACAGCTGGTGGGGTCAACAGCTGGCAACTGTTCCCGCCCCGCGTGACCTGCAACACACGTAAACGGGGGTTGGCAGGTTTCAGGCAACGCGTCCCAGGCAACATGTTGCATGCAACGTGTTAGAGGCAACGAGCTGCTGGCAACGAATTACAGGCAACGTGTCATAGGTTAACATGTCACAGGCAACTCATTGCAACGGGTTGGTTACAGGCAACTCATGACAACATTACGGGCAACATGTTCCATTCAACATGTCATAGGCAACTGATGGCAACGGATTGGTGGCGACAGGCAACTGACTGCAACGAATTATGGACAACATGTCACAGGCAGCTCATGGAACTGGGTTGGTTACAGGCAGCTCAAGGCAACATTTTACAGGCAACTTGTTACGGGCAACAACATGTCACGGGCAACTCATTGCAACGGGTTGGTGACAGGAAACTCGTGGCAACGTATTAAGGGCAACGTTTCGCGTGCGACAAGTCGTGGGCAACCCGTGGCAATGTTTCACGGGCAACTCGCCACGGGCAACTCGCCACGGGCAACTCGTCAAGGGCAACTCGCCACGGGCAACTCGCCATGGGCAACTCGTCACGGGCAACTCGTCACGGGCAACTCGCCACGGGCAACTCGTCACGGGCAACTCGTCACGGGCAACTCGCCACGGGCAACTCGTCACGGGCAACTCGCCACGGGCAACTCGTCACGGGCAACTCGCCACGGGCAACTCGCCACGGGCAACTCGTCACGGGCAACTCGCCACGGGCAACTCGTCACGGGCAACTCGTCACGGGCAACTCGCCACGGGCAACTCGCCACGGGCAACTCGCCACGGGCAACTCATTGCAACGGGTTGGTGACAGGAAAATCACGGCGACGTGTTACGGGCGACGTGTTACAGGCGACGTGTTACGGGCGACGTGTTACGGGCGACGTGTTACGGGCGACGTGTTACGGGCGACGTGTTACAGGCGACGTGTTACGGGCGACGTGTTACAGGCGACGTGTTACGGGCGACGTGTTACGGGCGACGTGTTACGGGCGACGTGTTACGGGCGACGTGTTACGGGCGACGTGTTACGGGCGACGTGTTACGGGCGACGTGTTACGGGCGACGTGTTACGGACGACGTGTTACGGGCGACGTGTTACGGGCGACGTGTTACGGGCGACGTGTTACGGGCGACGTGTTACGGGCGACGTGTTACGGGCGACGTGTTACGGGCGACGTGTTACGGGCGACGTGTTACGGGCGACGTGTTACGGACGACGTGTTACGGGCGACGTGTTACGGGCGACGTGTTACGGGTGACGTGTTACGGGCGACGTGTTACGGGCGACGTGTTACGGGCGACGTGTTACGGGCGACGTGTTACGGGCGACGTGTTACGGGCGACGTGTTACGGGCGACGTGTTACGGGCGACGTGTTACGGGTGACGTGTTACGGGCGACGTGTTACGGGCGACGTGTTACGGGCGACGTGTTACAGGCGACGTGTTACGGGCGACGTGTTACGGGCGACGTGTTACGGGCGACGTGTTACGGGCGACGTGTTACGGGCGACGTGTTACGGGCGACGTGTTACGGGCGACGTGTTACAGGCGACGTGTTACGGGCGACGTGTTACGGGCGACGTGTTACGGGCGACGTGTTACGGGCGACGTGTTACGGGCGACGTGTTACGGGCGACGTGTTACGGGCGACGTGTTACGGGTGACGTGTTACAGGCGACGTGTTACGGGTGACGTGTTACGGGCGACGTGTTACGGGCAGCAACTCGTGGCGGGCAACTGGTGGCGGGCAACTGGTGGCAGGCAACTGACCTCACACCATCTCGTACTGGTTGGCGTTGATGTGTCTGGCGAGGCAGCAGGAGATCGCAATGCCAAACACCTGCGGGCACACAGACGCAGGCAAAGGTCCCCAGGTAGCCCAAGCTGTCTGCCGGGAAGGGGGGAGGTCAAGTGCTGGCGGTTTTGACTGGGCCCACCGCACCACCGGGCAGACATTTGAGGCCGAGTCGACCTAGGGGAAGGCCCCGACAGCAAAGCGTGGCGGTGACCTCACGGCGTCGGCCGTGCCAGGCTAGGTGCACTTTTGAGGCCGTCACGTGAAGAATCGAAGGCTCTCTGCTGGCAAGGAGGAGGTCACGGGACAGACCCAGCAGGTGCCGTGGGTTGACTGCTGTGCCAGGCTAGGTGCATGAGGAGGTCACGGGACTGACCCTGCAGGTGCCGTGGGTTGACTGCTGTGCCAGGCTAGGTGCATGAGGAGGAGGTCACGGGACAGACCCTGCAGGTGCCGTGGGTTGACTGCTGTGCCAGGCTAGGTGCAGGAGGAGGAGGTCACGGGACAGACCCAGCAGGTGCCGTGGGTTGACTGCTGTGCCAGGCTAGGTGCATGAGGAGGTCATGGGACATATCCTGCAGGTGCCATGGGTTGACTGCTGTGCCAGGCTAGGTGCAGGAGGAGGAGGTCACGGGGCAGAGGTGAGGAGGTAGGTGAGTAGGTGGGTGAGGAGGTGGGTGAGTAGGTGAGTGAGTAGGTGAGTAGGTGGGTGAGTAGGTGAGTGAGTAGGTGAGTGAGTAGGTGAGTAGGTGGGTGAGTAGGTGAGTGAGTAGGTGAGTGAGTAGGTGAGTAGGTGGGTGAGTGAGTAGGTGAGTGAGTAGGTGAGTAGGTGGGTGAGTAGGTGGGTGAGTAGGTGGGTGAGTAGGTGAGTAGTTAGGTGAGTAGGTAGGTGAGTAGGTGGGTGAGTAGGTGAGTAGTTAGGTGAGTAGGTGAGTAGGTAGGTGAATAGGTGAGTAGGTGAGTAGGTGGGTGAGTAGGTGGGTGAGTAGGTGGGTGAGTAGGTAGGTGAGTAGGTGAGTAGGTGAGTAGGTAGGTGAGTAGGTGAGTAGGCGGGTGAGTAGGTGGGTGAGTAGGTGGGTGAGTAGGTAGGTGAGTAGGTAGGTGAGTAGGTGAGTAGGTAGATGAGTAGGTAGGTGAGTAGGTGAGTAGGTGGGTGAGTAGGTGGGTGAGTAGGTAGGTGAGTAGGTAGGTAAGTAGGTGAGTAGGTGAGTAGGTAGGTGAGTAGGTGAGTAAGTGGGTGAGTAGGTAGGTGAGTAGGTAGGTGAGTAGGTCAGTAGGTGGGTGAGTAGGTGAGTAGGTGAGTAGGTGGGTGAGTAGGTGGGTGAGTAGGTAGGTGAGTAGGTGGGTGAGTAGGTAAGTGAGTAGGTGGGTGAGTAGGTGGATGAGTAGGTAAGTGAGTAGGTGAGTAGGTGGGTGAGTAGGTGAGTAGGTGAGTGAGTCGGTGAGTAAGTAGGTGAGTAGGTAGGTGAGTAGGTGGGTGAGTAGGTGAGTAGGTGAGTAGGTGGGTGAGTAGGTGGGTGAGTAGGTAGGTGAGTAGGTGGGTGAGTAGGTAAGTGAGTAGGTGGGTGAGTAGGTGGATGAGTAGGTAAGTGAGTAGGTGAGTAGGTGGGTGAGTAGGTGAGTAGGTGAGTGAGTCGGTGAGTAAGTAGGTGAGTAGGTAGGTGAGTAGGTGGGTGAGTAGGTGAGTAGGTGGGTGAGTAGGTGGGTGAGTAGTTGAGTAGGTGAGTCGGTGGGTGAGTAGGTGAGTAGGTGAGTGAGTAGGTAGGTGAGTAGGTAGGTGAGTAGGTGAGTAGGTGGGTGAGTAGGTGAGTAGGTGGGTGAGTAGGTGGGTGAGTAGGTAGGTGAGTAGGTGAGAAGTGGGTGAGTAGGTGGATGAGTAGGTAAGTGAGTAGGTGAGTAGGTGAGTAGGTGGGTGAGTAGGTGAGTAGGTGGGTGAGTAGGTGAGTAGGTGGGTGAGTCGGTGAGTAGGTAGGTGAGTAGTTTGGTGAGTAGATGGGTGAGTAGGTGAGTAGGTGGGTGAGTAGGTGGGTGAGTAGGTGAGTAGTTTGGTGAGTAGGTGAGTAGTTAGGTGAGTAAGTGAGTAGGTGAGTAGGTAGGTGAGTAGGTGAGTAGGTAGGTGAGTAGGTAGGTGAGTAGGTGAGTAAGTGGGTGAGTAGGTGAGTAGGTGAGTAGATGAGTAGGTAGGTGAGTAGGTGAGTAGGTAGGTGAGTAGGTAGGTGAGTAGGTGAGTAGGTAGGTGAGTAAGTGAGTAGGTGAGTAGGTAGGTGAGTAGGTGAGTAGGTAGGTGAGTAGGTAGGTGAGTAGGTGAGTAGGTAGGTGAGTAGGTGAGTAGGTAGGTGAGTAGGTAGGTGAGTAGGTAGGTGAGTAGGTGAGTAGGTAGGTGAGTAGGTGAGTAGGTGAGTAGGTGAGTAGGTAGGTGGGTAGGTGAGTAGGTAGGTGAGCAGGTAGGTGAGTAGGTGAGTAGGTAGGTGAGTAGGTAGGTGAGTAGGTGAGTAGGTGGGTGAGTAGGTGAGTAGGTGAGTAAGTGAGTGGGTGGATGAGTAGGTAGGTGAGTAGGTGAGTAGGTGGGTGAGTAGGTGAGTAGGTGAGTAGGTGGGTGAGTAGGTGAGTAGGTGGGTGAGTCGGTAGGTACCTGCGAGAAGGCGATGCCGAAGGCGATGCCGGCTATCACAGCGAGATGCTGCTGCATGAAGCTGGTGACGAGCGTGAAGCAACCCTGCAAAAGACAAAGACACACACAGTGACACACACACACAGTGACACACACACACAGTGACACACACAGTGACACACACACAGTGACACACACACACAGTGACACACACAGTGACACACACACAGTGACACACACAGTGACACACACACACACAGTGACACACACACACAGTGACACACACAGTGACACACACACAGTGACACACACAGTGACACACACACAGTGACACACACAGTGACACACACACACAGTGACACACACACAAAGTGACACACACACAGTGACACACACACAGTGACACACACAGTGACACACACAACAACAACAACAACCGCCATTCGCCACTAAGTGGCGGTGACGTCACCACGACGCTTGTGCCAGGCTATGTGCACCCTGAGGCCACGTGAAGTGTCGAACGCCTGCTGGCAGGAGGTCACGGGGCAGACCCAGGCGCCACGGGTCGACTGACTGAGATGACTGGCTGATGCACAACCTGTGCCCCCTACTGTGCCAACCTGCAGTGCTTTAGCCACCCGGCGCTCCGCTCGTTGTTGTGAGCGTCGCTCCTCCGCCCTCCGTTGTTGTTGGAGGGCGACTGCCTCGAACTGCTCAGTAGCGTCCTTCACGAGCCTCCTCCACAGAGGCCGATCTTGACACCGCTGGTACCAGTCATCGGCAAGTCCACTCAGCTCCACGTCCTCCTGTACCATATCACTCCATCTCTTCTCTAGCCCGTGCCGCGCCCGTTTAGCCCCCTCGATCCGGCCGAACAAAAGCTGTTTCGGCATGCGGTGGCTGGGCATGCGGGCTACATGACCCAGCCAACGCAGCCTTGCCTGCCGGAGGAGCTCACCGATGGGACCGTGCCCAGATCTTTCAAGAATTTGTGAGCTCCTCAACAATCCAGCCTGGTTAAACCCAGGATGGATCGTAGGCAGGCCAGCCTAAATGTTTCTGACCGGCGAAGATGTTCCATTAGGGGGGGTCCACGTTTCGCAAGCGTAGAGAGGGGAGGGAATGACCGTGGCCGAGAAGACCTGAAGCTTAGTGCGGAGCGACAGACCAGGTAGCTTCCACACAGCATTACGCAACCGATGAAAAGTTATTGATGCTCGACTGATTCGGAGTGAGACCTCTGCTGTTAAACTGGAGCCGGTCATAAGCACACTGCCCAGGTATGGGAAACTCTCCACTCTCTCCACAACTGCCCCATCACCGATTGGGAGTTGTGGGGGTGGAGTGTCCGATGGTACAAAATACCCAGGCAGGTGCTTAGTTTTTGTGGGGCTGATGGTAAGGCCCCATCTCTTAGTGGCACGCTCCAGTCTCAGCAGCAGCGTCTCCAACTCCTCCTCTGAATGAGCGGCTATTACCAAATCATCGGCATACATAACGTGGTTGACCAATAGGGAGCCATCCCTTGACTGAATCCGGGCATCGATCAGCCTCCCATTATATCTGTACCATATGGAGATTCCCCCGGTACAGCTATTGAAGGCTTCACGAACTACGTGGTCAAAATAGATGTTAAATAATGTGGGAGCCAGAGGACATCCCTGTCGCACCCCAAGGTGTACAGGGAATGGCTCTCACTCCCGGCCACGTAGTTTTACCCGGGCCCGCTCACCATCATGAAGGTCCTTAATGATCGTGAGCAGAGGGTCAGGGACTCCAAAAGCACGAAGAACAACCCAGAGCCCAGGCCTGCTGATGGTATCATAGGCCTTGACCAGGTCAATAAAGCAGAGATGTAGGTCTTGTTGGAATTCCCTACACCTCTGCTGTAGCAGACGGACAGAAAATATGGCATCTGTGCAGGACCGCCCTTTCCTGAACCCGCATTGGGGCTCCGCAAGCCTCTCCTCAGTGTGCCTGGCGAGGCGATGTTGATTCATCTTTGCCAGGACTGTTCCCGGCCTCATACTGAGGCAGCGTGAGATGCCCCGGGAGTTGTCAGCGTCCCGCAAAAACAATCCCCTCTGTGGTGCCGGACGGCAGCGCTGTGGCGGAAGCGAGCATCGTCATGGGCGGAACGGCCAATCCCATTCGGCTTTACCCCTCATGGCGTTTGTAGCCAACACGGCAGCCAATGGGAGCTCTGGATGGGTGCAGGGAGCCGGAGGCCCCGGGGGGGACAGGCGTCTATGACGTCTCCTGGCCAGACCCCATTTGGCGGAGCCAGGAGACTGAATCTCCACCCTCGGGGCTCCTCCAGAAGCAAAAAACCACTACGTGTGGCCACGTGGAATGTTCGGACGCCCACTGCGGAGGAGAGGCTGCCACTCCTCAGTCGGGAGCTGGACCGGTACCAACCTGGATCTCCGTGGCATTCAGGAGGTCCGGTGGACCGGCTCTGGCTCCTGCCACCATGACGGGCGGACAGTCCTCCGCTCGGGGGCAGGAGACTTGCCAAACAACAGGGGGTGGCTCTTCTTCCGAACAAAACAATGAAGGGGGCGTGGCAGCGTGGCGGTGAGGTGCGGGAAGCCGCTCAGCGCCCCGGGCTACCGTGAGCTCGCCTCCCCGTCAACAAGAGCCGGCGGTGCCTCACGCCCCCCCCCCCCCCCGCCACCGAAGAGGAACATCAGCGGAGGGCTGTGGGACGAGGCCAACGAGTGGGACGCCTTCCGTGACCTCCTGCCCCAGCTCCCGGCTGCAGGTGGTCGCCCTGCAGCCGGGCCACTTTGATGCTCGCCGTGGCAACCCCCCCCCCCCCCCCGAGTCCGCGAGGGCCGAGCGAAGGGAGTCGGTCTCCGTGGCACGGGGCGCCGGTGGGGCAGGTCGCCTGCCTGGCGGTAGACGATGGTCCCGGCGCTGGTGGCGTTGCCGAGGGCGCCGGCGCCGCAGTCGGTGGCGTTGACGCAGCAGCTGGGGGGCACTCCGCTCGCCTCGCCGTACGGAGTCTTCCACCAATCCTCGTAGTCGTTCAGCCCACAGCAGCGCAGCTGGGACACGGCGGGAGGGTGAGTGGGTGGGTGGGAGGGTGAGAGGGTGAGTGGGTGGGTGGGTGGGTGGTTGGGTGGGTGGGTGAGAGGGTGAGTGGGTGGGTGGGTGAGAGGGTGAGAGGGTGAGTGAGTGAGTGGGTGAGAGGGTGGGTGGGTGGGTGAGAGGGTGAGTGAGTGGGTGGGTGAGAGGGTGGGTGGGTGGGAGGGTGAGTGAGTGGGTGAGTGGGTGAGAGGGTGAGACGGTGGGTGAGTGGGTGGGTGAGAGGGTGAGTGGGTGGGTGAGTGAGTTGGTGGGTGGGTGAGTGGGTGAGAGGGTAAGAGGGTGAGTGGGTGGGTGAGTGGGTGGGTGGGTGAGTGAGTGGGTGGGTGGGAGGGTGAGTGGGTGGGTGAGTGGGGGGGTGAGTGGGTGAGAGGGTGAGAGGGTGAGTGGGTGGGTGAGTGGGGGGGTGAGTGGGTGAGAGGGTGAGTGGGTGGGTGAGTGGGTGGGTGGGAGGGTGAGTGGGTGAGTGGGAGAGAGGGTGAGAGGGTGAGTGGGTAGGTGAGTGGGTGGGTGGGAGGGTGAGAGGTTGAGTGGGTGACACGGTGAGTGTGAGTGGTGAGCGTGAGTGGTGAGTGGTGAGCGTGAGTGGTGAGTGGTGAGCGTGAGTGGTGAGTGGTGAGCGCTATCACCGTGCGTTGTAGCGTATCGATGGCTCCGTCACTGCCGCTGTGTGACGTTCCGCTGTAGGCATCAAGTGCTCTCTTCAGGTTGCTCCGAAACAGCCCATTAATCTACACACGCACACAGCCGTGTGTGAGTGACTCAGGCTGTGGGTGAGTCAGGCTGTGAGTCAGGCTGTGTGTGAGTGAGTCAGGCTGTGTGTGAGTCAGGCTGTGAGTGAGTCAGGCTGTGTGTGAGTGAGTCAGGCTGTGTGTGAGTGAGTCAGGCTGTGTGTGAGTGAGTCAGGCTGTGGGTGAGTTAGGCTGTGAGTCAGGCTGTGTGTGAGTGAGTCAGGCTGTGTGTGAGTGAGTCAGGCTGTGTGTGAGTGAGTCAGGCTGTGGGTGAGTCAGGCTGTGACTGAGTCAGGCTGTGAGTGAGTCAGGCTGTGAGTGAGTCAGGCTGTGTGTGTGAGTCAGGCTGTGGGTGAGTGAGTCAGGCTGTGAGTGAGTCAGGCTGTGACTGAGTCAGGCTGTGACTGAGTCAGGCTGTGTGTGGGTGAGTCAGGCTGTGAGTGAGTCAGGCTGTGTGTGGGTGAGTCAGGCTGTGACTGAGTCAGGCTGTGTGTGAGTGAGTCAGGCTGTATGTGAGTGAGTCAGGCTGTGAGTGTGTGAGTCAGGCTGTGACTGAGTCAGGCTGTGAGTGATTCAGGCTGTGACTGAGTCAGGCTGTGAGTGAGTCAGGATGTGAGTGAGTCAGGCTGTGTGAGTGAGTCAGGCTGTGAGTGAGTCAGGCTGTGTGTGAGTGAGTCAGGCTGTGAGTGAGTCAGGCTGTGAGTGTGTGAGTCAGGCTGTGAGTGAGTCAGGCTGTGAGTGTGTGAGTCAGGCTGTGTGTGAGTGAGTCAGGCTGTGTGTGAGTGAGTCAGGCTGTGAGTGAGTCAGGCTGTGAGTGAGTGAGTCAGGCTGTGAGTGGGTCAGGCTGTGTGTGGGTGAGTCAGGCTGTGAGTGAGTCAGGCTGTGAGTGAGTCAGGCTGTGAGTGAGTCAGGCTGTGTGTGGGTGAGTCAGGCTGTGAGTGAGTCAGGCTCTGTGTGAGTCAGGCTGTGAGTGAGTCAGGCTGTGAGTGAGTCAGGCTGTGTGTGGGTGAGTCAGGCTGTGAGTGAGTCAGGCTGTGTGTGGGTGAGTCAGGCTGTGACTGAGTCAAGCTGTGTGTGAGTGAGTCAGGCTGTGTGAGTGAGTCAGGCTGTGAGTGTGTGAGTCAGGCTGTGACTGAGTCAGGCTGTGAGTGAGTCAGGCTGTGACTGAGTCAGGCTGTGAGTGAGTCAGGATGTGAGTGAGTCATGCTGTGTGAGTGAGTCAGGCTGTGAGTGAGTCAGGCTGTGTGTGAGTGCGTCAGGCTGTGTGTGAGTGAGTCAGGCTGTGAGTGTGTGAGTCAGGCTGTGAGTGAGTCAGGCTGTGAGTGAGTCAGGCTGTGAGTGAGTCAGGCTGTGAGTGAGTCAGGCTGTGAGTGAGTCAGGCTGTGTGTGGGTGAGTCAGGCTGTGAGTGAGTCAGGCTGTGTGTGGGTGAGTCAGGCTGTGACTGAGTCAGGCTGTGTGTGAGTGAGTCAGGCTGTGTGTGAGTGAGTCAGGCTGTGAGTGTGTGAGTCAGGCTGTGACTGAGTCAGGCTGTGACTGAGTCAGGCTGTGAGTGAGTCAGGCTGTGTGTGAGTGCGTCAGGCTGTGTGTGAGTGAGGTCAGGCTGTGAGTGTGTGAGTCAGGCTGTGAGTGAGTCAGGCTGTGAGTGAGTCAAGCTGTGAGTGAGTCAGGCTGTGAGTGAGTCAGGCTGTGAGTGAGTCAGGCTGTGAGTGAGTCAGGCTGTGTGTGAGTCAGGCTGTGAGTGAGTCAGGCTGTCAGTGAGTCAAGCTGTGAGTGTGTGAGTCAGGCTGTGAGTGAGTCAGGCTGTGAGTGAGTCAGGCTTGTGTGTGAGTCAGGCTGTGAGTGAGTCAGGGCTGTGACTGAGTCAGGCTGTGTGTGTGAGTCAGGCTCTGGGTGAGTGAGTCAAGGCTGTGAGTGAGTCAGGCTGTGAGTGAGCCAGGCTGTGAGTGAGTCAGGCTGTGACTGAGTCAGGCTGTGTGTGAGTGAGTCAGGCTGTGAGTGAGTCAGGCTGTGTGTGGGGTGAGTCAGGCTGTGAGTGAGTCAGGCTGTGTGAGTGAGTCGAGGCTGTGTGTGAGTGAGTCAGGCTGTGAGTGTGTGAGTCAGGCTGTGAGTGAGTCAGGCTGGTGAGTGAGTCAGGCTGTGAGTGAGTCACGCTGTGAGTGTGGTGAGTCAGGCTGTGGAGTGAGTCAGGCTGTGTGGGATGTAAGTCAGGCTGTGAGTGAGTCAGCCTGTGAGTGAGTGAGTCAGGCTGTGACTGAGTCAGGCTGTGAGTGAGTTAGGCTGTGAGTGAGTCAGGCTGTGAGTGAGTCAGCCTGTGAATGAGTGCGTCCGGCTGTGAGTGAGTCAGGCTGTGAGTGAGTCAGGCTGTGTGTGAGTCAGGCTGTGAGTGAGTCAGGCTGTGACTGAGTCAGGCTGTGTGTGTGTGAGTCAGGCTCTGGGTGAGTGAGTCAGGCTGTGAGTGAGTCAGGCTGTGAGTGAGTCAGGCTGTGGGTGAGTCAGGCTGTGAGTGAGTCAGGCTGTGACTGAGTCAGGCTGTGAGTGAGTCAGGCTGTGTGTGTGTGAGTCAGGCTGTGGGTGAGTCAGGCCGTGAGTGAGTCAGGCTGTGAGTGAGTCAGGCTGTGTGTGGGTGAGTCAGGCTCTGAGTGAGTCAGGCTGTGTGTGGGTGAGTCAGGCTGTGACTGAGTCAGGCTGTGTGTGAGTGAGTCAGGCTGTATGTGAGTGAGTCAGGCTGTGAGTGTGTGAGTCAGGCTGTGACTGAGTCAGGCTGTGAGTGATTCAGGCTGTGACTGAGTCAGGCTGTGAGTGAGTCAGGATGTGAGTGAGTCAGGCTGTGTGAGTGAGTCAGGCTGTGAGTGAGTCAGGCTGTGTGTGAGTGAGTCAGGCTGTGAGTGAGTCAGGCTGTGAGGGTGTGAGTCAGGCTGTGAGTGAGTCAGGCTGTGAGTGTGTGAGTCAGGCTGTGTGTGAGTGAGTCAGGCTGTGTGTGAGTGAGTCAGGCTGTGAGTGAGTCAGGCTGTGAGTGAGTGAGTCAGGCTGTGAGTGGGTCAGGCTGTGTGTGGGTGAGTCAGGCTGTGAGTGAGTCAGGCTGTGAGTGAGTCAGGCTGTGAGTGAGTCAGGCTGTGTGTGGGTGAGTCAGGCTGTGAGTGAGTCAGGCTCTGTGTGAGTCAGGCTGTGAGTGAGTCAGGCTGTGAGTGAGTCAGGCTGTGTGTGGGTGAGTCAGGGTGTGAGTGAGTCAGGCTGTGTGTGGGTGAGTCAGGCTGTGACTGAGTCAAGCTGTGTGTGAGTGAGTCAGGCTGTGTGAGTGAGTCAGGCTGTGAGTGTGTGAGTCAGGCTGTGACTGAGTCAGGCTGTGAGTGAGTCAGGCTGTGACTGAGTCAGGCTGTGAGTGAGTCAGGATGTGAGTGAGTCATGCTGTGTGAGTGAGTCAGGCTGTGAGTGAGTCAGGCTGTGTCTGAGTGCGTCAGGCTGTGTGTGAGTGAGTCAGGCTGTGAGTGTGTGAGTCAGGCTGTGAGTGAGTCAGGCTGTGAGTGAGTCAGGCTGTGAGTGAGTCAGGCTGTGAGTGAGTCAGGCTGTGAGTGAGTCAGGCTGTGTGTGGGTGAGTCAGGCTGTGAGTGAGTCAGGCTGTGTGTGGGTGAGTCAGGCTGTGACTGAGTCAGGCTGTGTGTGAGTGAGTCAGGCTGTGTGTGAGTGAGTCAGGCTGTGAGTGTGTGAGTCAGGCTGTGACTGAGTCAGGCTGTGAGTGAGTCAGGCTGTGAGTGAGTCAGGCTGTGTGTGAGTGCGTCAGGCTGTGTGTGAGTGAGTCAGGCTGAGTGTGTGAGTCAGGCTGTGAGTGAGTCAGGCTGTGAGTGAGTCAAGCTGTGAGTGTGTGAGTCAGGCTGTGAGTGAGTCAGGCTGTGAGTGAGTCAGGCTGTGTGTGAGTCAGGCTGTGAGTGAGTCAGGCTGTGAGTGAGTCAAGCTGTGAGTGTGTGAGTCAGGCTGTGAGTGAGTCAGGCTGTGAGTGAGTCAGGCTGTGTGTGAGTCAGGCTGTGAGTGAGTCAGGCTGTGACTGAGTCAGGCTGTGTGTGTGAGTCAGGCTCTGGGTGAGTGAGTCAGGCTGTGAGTGAGTCAGGCTGTGAGTGAGCCAGGCTGTGAGTGAGTCAGGCTGTGACTGAGTCAGGCTGTGTGTGAGTGAGTCAGGCTGTGAGTGAGTCAGGCTGTGTGTGGGTGAGTCAGGCTGTGAGTGAGTCAGGCTGTGTGAGTGAGTCAGGCTGTGTGTGAGTGAGTCAGGCTGTGAGTGTGTGAGTCAGGCTGTGAGTGAGTCAGGCTGTGAGTGAGTCAGGCTGTGAGTGAGTCACGCTGTGAGTGTGTGAGTCAGGCTGTGAGTGAGTCAGGCTGTGTGGGAGTAAGTCAGGCTGTGAGTGAGTCAGCCTGTGAGTGAGTGAGTCAGGCTGTGACTGAGTCAGGCTGTGAGTGAGTTAGGCTGTGAGTGAGTCAGGCTGTGAGTGAGTCAGCCTGTGAGTGAGTGAGTCCGGCTGTGAGTGAGTCAGGCTGTGAGTGAGTCAGGCTGTGTGTGAGTCAGGCTGTGAGTGAGTCAGGCTGTGACTGAGTCAGGCTGTGTGTGTGTGAGTCAGGCTCTGGGTGAGTGAGTCAGGCTGTGAGTGAGTCAGGCTGTGAGTGAGTCAGGCTGTGGGTGAGTCAGGCTGTGAGTGGGTGAGTCAGGCTGTGACTGAGTCAGGCTGTGAGTGAGTCAGGCTGTGTGTGTGTGAGTCAGGCTGTGGGTGAGTCAGGCTGTGAGTGAGTCAGGCTGTGAGTGAGTCAGGCTGTGTGTGGGTGAGTCAGGCTCTGAGTGAGTCAGGCTGTGTGTGTGTGAGTCAGGCTGTGAGTGAGTCAGGCTGTGACTGAGTCAGGCTGTGAGTGAGTCAGGCTGTGTGTGAGTGAGTCAGGCTGTGAGTGAGTGAGTCAGGCTGTGAGTGAGTCAGGCTGTGTGTGGGTGAGTCAGGCTGTGAGTGAGTCAGGCTCTGTATGAGTCAGGCTGTGAGTGAGTCAGGCTGTGAGTGAGTCAGGCTGTGAGTGAGTCAGGCTGTGAGTGAGTGAGTCAGGCTGTGAGTGGGTCAGGCTGTGTGTGGGTGAGTCAGGCTGTGAGTGAGTCAGGCTGTGAGTGAGTCAGGCTGTGAGTGAGTCAGGCTGTTGTGTGGGTGAGTCAGGCTGTGAGTGAGTCAGGCTCTGTGTGAGTCAGGCTGTGAGTGAGTCAGGCTGTGAGTGAGTCAGGCTGTGTGTGGGTGAGTCAGGCTGTGAGTGAGTCAGGCTGTGTGTGGGTGAGTCAGGCTGTGACTGAGTCAAGCTGTGTGTGAGTGAGTCAGGCTGTGTGAGTGAGTCAGGCTGTGAGTGTGTGAGTCAGGCTGTGAGTGAGTCAGGCTGTGAGTGAGTCAGGCTGTGACTGAGTCAGGCTGTGAGTGAGTCAGGATGTGAGTGAGTCATGCTGTGTGAGTGAGTCAGGCTGTGAGTGAGTCAGGCTGTGTCTGAGTGCGTCAGGCTGTGTGTGAGTGAGTCAGGCTGTGAGTGTGTGAGTCAGGCTGTGAGTGAGTCAGGCTGTGAGTGAGTCAGGCTGTGAGTGAGTCAGGCTGTGAGTGAGTCAGGCTGTGAGTGAGTCAGGCTGTGTGTGGGTGAGTCAGGCTGTGAGTGAGTCAGGCTGTGTGTGGGTGAGTCAGGCTGTGACTGAGTCAGGCTGTGTGTGAGTGAGTCAGGCTGTGTGTGAGTGAGTCAGGCTGTGAGTGTGTGAGTCAGGCTGTGACTGAGTCAGGCTGTGAGTGAGTCAGGCTGTGAGTGAGTCAGGCTGTGTGTGAGTGCGTCAGGCTGTGTGTGAGTGAGTCAGGCTGTGAGTGTGTGAGTCAGGCTGTGAGTGAGTCAGGCTGTGAGTGAGTCAAGCTGTGAGTGTGTGAGTCAGGCTGTGAGTGAGTCAGGCTGTGAGTGAGTCAGGCTGTGTGTGAGTCAGGCTGTGAGTGAGTCAGGCTGTGAGTGAGTCAAGCTGTGAGTGTGTGAGTCAGGCTGTGAGTGAGTCAGGCTGTGAGTGAGTCAGGCTGTGTGTGAGTCAGGCTGTGAGTGAGTCAGGCTGTGACTGAGTCAGGCTGTGTGTGTGAGTCAGGCTCTGGGTGAGTGAGTCAGGCTGTGAGTGAGTCAGGCTGTGAGTGAGCCAGGCTGTGAGTGAGTCAGGCTGTGACTGAGTCAGGCTGTGTGTGAGTGAGTCAGGCTGTGAGTGAGTCAGGCTGTGTGTGGGTGAGTCAGGCTGTGAGTGAGTCAGGCTGTGTGAGTGAGTGAGGCTGTGTGTGAGTGAGTCAGGCTGTGAGTGTGTGAGTCAGGCTGTGAGTGAGTCAGGCTGTGAGTGAGTCAGGCTGTGAGTGAGTCACGCTGTGAGTGTGTGAGTCAGGCTGTGAGTGAGTCAGGCTGTGTGGGAGTAAGTCAGGCTGTGAGTGAGTCAGCCTGTGAGTGAGTGAGTCAGGCTGTGACTGAGTCAGGCTGTGAGTGAGTTAGGCTGTGAGTGAGTCAGGCTGTGAGTGAGTCAGCCTGTGAGTGAGTGCGTCCGGCTGTGAGTGAGTCAGGCTGTGAGTGAGTCAGGCTGTGTGTGAGTCAGGCTGTGAGTGAGTCAGGCTGTGACTGAGTCAGGCTGTGTGTGTGTGAGTCAGGCTCTGGGTGAGTGAGTCAGGCTGTGAGTGAGTCAGGCTGTGAGTGAGTCAGGCTGTGGGTGAGTCAGGCTGTGAGTGGGTGAGTCAGGCTGTGACTGAGTCAGGCTGTGAGTGAGTCAGGCTGTGTGTGTGTGAGTCAGGCTGTGGGTGAGTCAGGCTGTGAGTGAGTCAGGCTGTGAGTGAGTCAGGCTGTGTGTGGGTGAGTCAGGCTCTGAGTGAGTCAGGCTGTGTGTGTGTGAGTCAGGCTGTGAGTGAGTCAGGCTGTGACTGAGTCAGGCTGTGAGTGAGTCAGGCTGTGTGTGAGTGAGTCAGGCTGTGAGTGAGTGAGTCAGGCTGTGAGTGAGTCAGGCTGTGTGTGGGTGAGTCAGGCTGTGAGTGAGTCAGGCTCTGTATGAGTCAGGCTGTGAGTGAGTCAGGCTGTGAGTGAGTCAGGCTGTGAGTGAGTCAGGCTGTGTGTGGGTGAGTCAGGCTGTGAGTGAGTCAGGCTCTGTATGAGTCAGGCTGTGGGTGAGTCAGGCTGTGAGTGAGTCAGGCTGTGAGTGAGTCAGGATGTGAGTGAGTCAGGCTGTGTGTGGGTGAGTCAGGCTGTGAGTGAGTCAGGCTCTGTGTGAGTCAGGCTGTGAGTGAGTCAGGCTGTGACTGAGTCAGGCTGTGAGTGAGTCAGGCTGTGATCTCGATGCCTCGTGACGGAAGATGAAGCCAGAAATCCCAGCGATGAGTTCAGCCAGGAACACGGTGAGCAGGAGGACTGCGTACTGTACACACAGACACAGACAAAGAGCCCCCAGGTAGCCTCACACACACACGGTAGGGGCAAGTGCTGTTAGTAGCAAGTAGCAACAGCACCTATACACAGACAAAGATCCCCCGTGTAGCCTCTAACAGACTGCAAGGGCAAGTGCTGTTAGTAGCGAGTAGCAGCAGCACCTATACACAGACAAAGATACCCCGTGTAGTCTCTAACAGGCTGTAGGGGCAAGTGCTGTTAGTAGCGAGTAGCAGCACCTATACACAGACAAAGATCCCCCGTGTAGCCTCTAACAGGCTGTAGGGGCAAGTGCTGTTAATAGCGAGTAGCAGCAGCACCTATACACAGACAAAGATCCCCGTGTAGCCTCTAACAGGCTGTAGGGACAAGTGCTGTTAGTAGCGAGTAGCAGCAGCACCTATACACAGACAAAGATCCCCCGTGTAGCCTCTAACAGGCTGTAGGGGCAAGTGCTGTTAGTAGCGAGTAGCAGCAGCACCTATACACAGACAAAGATCCCCCGTGTAGCCTCTAACAGGCTGTAGGGGCAAGTGCTGTTAGTAGCGAGTAGCAGCAGCACCTATACACAGACAAAGATCCCCCGTGTAGCCTCTAACAGGCTGTAGGGGCAAGTGCTGTTAGTAGCGAGTAGCAGCAGCACCTATACACAGACAAAGATCCCCCGTGTAGCCTCTAACAGGCTGTAGGGGCAAGTGCTGTTAGTAGCGAGTAGCAGCAGCACCTATACACAGACAAAGATCCCCCGTGTAGCCTCTAACAGGCTGTAGGGGCAAGTGCTGTTAGTAGCGAGTAGCAGCAGCACCTATACACAGACAAAGATCCCCCGTGTAGCCTCTAACAGGCTGTAGGGGCAAGTGCTGTTAGTAGCGAGTAGCAGCAGCACCTATACACAGACAAAGATCCCCCGTGTAGCCTCTAACAGGCTGTAGGGGCAAGTGCTGTTAGTAGCGAGTAGCAGCAGCACCTATACACAGACAAAGATCCCCCGTGTAGCCTCTAACAGGCTGTAGGGGCAAGTGCTGTTAGTAGCGAGTAGCAGCAGCACCTATACACAGACAAAGATCCCCCGTGTAGCCTCTAACAGGCTGTAGGGGCAAGTGCTGTTAGTAGCGAGTAGCAGCAGCACCTATACACAGACAAAGATCCCCCGTGTAGCCTCTAACAGGCTGTAGGGGCAAGTGCTGTTAGTAGCGAGTAGCAGCAGCACCTATACACAGACAAAGATCCCCCGTGTAGCCTCTAACAGGCTGTAGGGGCAAGTGCTGTTAGTAGCGAGTAGCAGCAGCACCTATACACAGACAAAGATCCCCCGTGTAGCCTCTAACAGGCTGTAGGGGCAAGTGCTGTTAGTAGCGAGTAGCAGCAGCACCTATACACAGACAAAGATCCCCCGTGTAGCCTCTAACAGGCTGTAGGGGCAAGTGCTGTTAGTAGCGAGTAGCAGCAGCACCTATACACAGACAAAGATCCCCCGTGTAGCCTCTAACAGGCTGTAGGGGCAAGTGCTGTTAGTAGCGAGTAGCAGCAGCACCTATACACAGACAAAGATCCCCCGTGTAGCCTCTAACAGGCTGTAGGGGCAAGTGCTGTTAGTAGCGAGTAGCAGCAGCACCTATACACAGACAAAGATCCCCCGTGTAGCCTCTAACAGGCTGTAGGGGCAAGTGCTGTTAGTAGCGAGTAGCAGCAGCACCTATACACAGACAAAGATCCCCCGTGTAGCCTCTAACAGGCTGTAGGGGCAAGTGCTGTTAGTAGCGAGTAGCGGCAGCACCTATACACAGACAAAGATCCCCCGTGTAGCCTCTAACAGGCTGTAGGGGCAAGTGCTGTTAGTAGCGAGTAGCAGCAGCATCTATACACAGACAAAGATCCCCCGTGTAGCCTCTAACAGGCTGTAGGGGCAAGTGCTGTTAGTAGCGAGTAGCAGCAGCATCTATACACAGACAAAGATCCCCCGTGTAGCCTCTAACAGGCTGTAGGCTGTACTCGTGTTCCCCCCCCCGCCCCCCAGTCCCCCCCCCGTGCCCCGCCCCGTGCCCCCACCCCCCGTGCCCCGCCCCCCGTGCCCCGCCCCCCATGCCCCGCCCCGTGCCCGCCCCCCGTGCCCCGCCCCGCCCCCGTGACCCCGTGCCCCCGCCCCCCACGCCCCCCCGCCCCCCCGTGTCCCGCCCCCCCGTGCCTCGCCCCCCCGTGCCCCGCCCTCCCGTGCCCCGCCCCGCCCCCCCACGCCCCCCCGCCCCCCGTGCCCGCCCCGCTCATCCGTGCCCCGCCCCCCCGTGCCCCGCCCCGCCCCGTGCCCCCACCCCCCCGTGCCCCTCCCCCCGTGCCCCCCGTGCCCCCACCAGCTTGAGCAGGCACGGGCTGCCCCTGCAGGTGGCCAGGCAGCCGACGAGCCCGAAGAGGAGGATGGCTGCCCCCGTGGCCATGAGCACGAGGGGGGCGGTGGCGGCGGTGCCGCCCCCCCCCTGCCCCCTGCTCGGAGAGCAGCGCCAGGTAGGGGCCCAGCGACAGCGACCCCCAGACCCCCACAGACAGCAGCACCAGCCCCGTCACCTGTAGCACACACACACATAGCACACACACACATAGCACACAGCACACACACACAGCGACCCCCAGACCCCCACAGACAGCAGCACCAGCCCCGTCACCTGTAGCACACAGCACACACACACATAGCACACACACATCACACACACAGCACACACAGCACACACACAGCACACACATCACACACACACAGCACACACACAGCACACACACAGCGACCCCCAGACCCCCACAGACAGCAGCACCAGCCCCGTCACCTGTAGCACACACACACACATAGCACACACACACATAGCACACACACACATAGCACACACACACACACACAGCACACACACAGCACACACACACACACAGCGACCCCCAGACCCCCACAGACAGCAGCACCAGCCCCGTCACCTGTAGCACACAGCACACATAGCACACACATAGCACACACACAGCACACACACAGCGACCCCCAGACCCCCACAGACAGCAGCACCAGCCCCGTCACCTGTAGCACACACACACAGCACACACACATCACACACACAGCACACACACACAGCACACACAGCACACACACATCACACACACAGCGACCCCCAGACCCCCACAGACAGCAGCACCAGCCCCGTCACCTGTAGCACACAGCACACACACAGCACACACACATCACACACACAGCACACACAGCGACCCCCAGACCCCCACAGACAGCAGCACCAGCCCCGTCACCTGGAGCACACAGCACACACACAGCACACACACACAGCACACACACACATAGCACACACACAGCACACACAGCGACCCCCAGACCCCCACAGACAGCAGCACCAGCCCCGTCACCTATGGCACACAGCACACACACACATAGCACACACACATAGCACACACACATATAGCACACACAGCGACCCCCAGACCCCCACAGACAGCAGCACCAGCCCCGTCACCTGTAGCACACAGCACACACACACATAGCACACACACACAGCACACACACAGCGACCCCCAGACCCCCACAGACAGCAGCACCAGCCCCGTCACCTGTAGCACACAGCACACACACAGCACACACACAGCACACACACAGCACACACACAGCACACACACAGCACACACACAGCACACACACAGCACACACATAGCACACACACAGCACACACACACAGCACACACACAGCGATCCCCAGACACCCACAGACAGCAGCACCAGCCCCGTCACCTGTAGCACACAGCACACACACAGCACACACATAGCACACACACACATAGCACACACAGCACACACACAGCACACACACAGCACACACACAGCACACACACAGCACACACACACAGCACACACACAGCACACACACATCACACACACATAGCACACACAGCACACACACACATAGCACACACATCACACACACAGCGACCCCCAGACACCCACAGACAGCAGCACCAGCCCCGTCACCTATGGCACACAGCACACACACAGCACACACATAGCACACACACACAGCACACACAGCACACACACACAGCACACACACATAGCACACACACACAGCACACACACAGCACACACACACAGCACACACAGCACACACACACATATAGCACACACACACATATAGCACACACAGCGATCCCCAGACACCCACAGACAGCAGCACCAGCCCCGTCACCTATAGCACACAGCACACACACACATAGCACACACAGCACACACACACACAGCACACACACATCACACACACAGCGACCCCCAGACACCCACAGACAGCAGCACCAGCCCCGTCACCTGTAGCACACACACACATAGCACACATATAGCACACACACAGCACACACACACAGCACACACACACATAGCACACACAGCACACACACAGCACACACACACACAGCACACACACAGCACACACACAGCGATCCCCAGACACCCACAGACAGCAGCACCAGCCCCGTCACCTGTAGCACACAGCACACACACACACAGCACACACACAGCACACATAGCACACACAGCACACACACAGCGATCCCCAGACACCCACAGACAGCAGCACCAGCCCCGTCACCTGTAGCACACAGCACACACACACACAGCACACACACAGCACACACACAGCGATCCCCAGACACCCACAGACAGCAGCACCAGCCCCGTCACCTGTAGCACACAGCACACACACACATAGCACACACAGCACACACACACATAGCACACACAGCACACACACAGCACACACACAGCACACACACAGCACACAGCACACACACATCACACACACAGCGATCCCCAGACACCCACAGACAGCAGCACCAGCCCCGTCACCTGTAGCACACAGCACACACACACACATAGCACACACACATCACACACACAGCACACACACACAGCACACACACAGCACACACACAGCACACACACACAGCACACAAAGCGATCCCCAGACACCCACAGACAGCAGCACCAGCCCCGTCACCTGTAGCACACAGCACACACACAGCACACAGCACACATATAGCACACACAGCACACACACATCACAGACACAGCACACACAGCACACATAGCACACACAGCGACCCCCAGACACCCACAGACAGCAGCACCAGCCCCGTCACCTATGGCACACAGCACACACACAGCACACACATAGCACACACACACAGCACACACAGCACACATATAGCACACACAGCGATCCCCAGACACCCACAGACAGCAGCACCAGCCCCGTCACCTGGAGCACACAGCACACACAGCACACACATAGCACACACACACATAGCACACACACACAGCACACATATAGCACACACAGCACACACACACAGCACACACACACAGCACACACACATCACACACAGCACACACAGCACACACACAGCACACACATAGCACACACACACAGCACATACACATCACACACACAGCGATCCCCAGACACCCACAGACAGCAGCACCAGCCCCGTCACCTGGAGCACACACACAGCACACACATAGCACACACACACAGCACACACATAGCACACACACACAGCACACACAGCACACACACAGCACACACACAGCACACACAGCACACACACAGCACACACAGCACACACACAGCACACACAGCACACATATAGCACACATAGCACACACACAGCACACACACAGCACACACAGCACACATATAGCACACATAGCACACACAGCACACACACACAGCACACATATAGCACACACAGCACACACACACAGCACAGACACACAGCACACACACACACATCACACACAGCACACACACAGCACACACACAGCACACACACATAGCACACACACACAGCACACACACAGCACACACACATCACACACACAGCGATCCCCAGACACCCACAGACAGCAGCACCAGCCCCGTCACCTGTAGCACACAGCACACACACAGCACACACACAGCACACACACACATAGCACACACACACAGCACACACACACACAGCACACACACACATAGCACACACACACAGCACACACAGCGATCCCCAGACACCCACAGACAGCAGCACCAGCCCCGTCACCCGTAGCACACACACAGCACACACATAGCACACACACACACAGCACACACAGCACACACACATAGCACACACACATAGCACACACATAGCACACACACAGCACACACAGCACACACACAGCGATCCCCAGACACCCACACACAGCAGCACCAGCCCCGTCACCTGTAGCACACACACAGCACACCCACACACAGCACACACACAGCACACACAGCACACACAGCACACACACACACACAGCACACACACAGCACACATAGCACACACACACAGCACACACACAGCATACACAGCACACACAGCACACACACAGCACACACACAGCACACACACACAGCACACACACACACAGCACACATAGCACACACAGCACAGCACACACACACACAGCGATCCCCAGACACCCACACACAGCAGCACCAGCCCCGTCACCTGTAGCACACACACAGCACACACACACAGCACACACACAGCACACATATAGCACACACACAGCACACACATATAGTACACACACAGACACACACACAAATATTGTGGTTAATGCAGTAACATGAATCCTTGTAATGCGGTTTCAGTTTTGTTTCCAGAAAAAAGGGGAAAACCCCCTCTTATATTACAACTGACGTGCTTGTGTCCGGGGATGGGATTCCTTTCCAGCTGAGACCCCGCCTGCTGGCCCATCACCACGTATATAATAACCTTGTTGTTGTAGTGGCGGGGATGGGATTCCTTTCCAACTGAGACCCCGCCTGCTTGCCCATCACCACGTATATAATAACGTCTTGTTGTTGTAGCGGGGATGGGATTCCTTTCCAGCTGAGACCCTGTCTGCTTGTCCATCACCACGTATATAATAACCTTGTTGTTGTAGTGGGGATGGAATTCCTTTCCAGCTGAGACCCCGCCTGCTGGCCCATCACCACGTATATAATAACCTTGTTGTAGCGGGGATGGGATTCCTTTCCAGCTGAGACCTCGCCTGCTGGCCCATCGCCACGTATATAATAACCTTGTTGTTGTAGTGGCGGGGATGGGATTCCTTTCCAGCTGAGACCCCGCCTGCTGGCCCATCACCACGTATATAATAACCTTGTTGTTGTAGTGGGGATAGCATTCCTTTCCAGCTGAGACCCCGCCTGCTGGCCCATCACCACGTATATAATAACCTTGTTGTAGCGGGGATGGAATTCCTTTCCAGCTGAGACCCTGCCTGCTGGCCCATCACCACGTATATAATAATGTCTTGTTGTAGCGGGGATGGGATTCCTTTCCAGCTGAGACCTCGCCTGCTGGCCCATCGCCACGTATATAATAACCTTGTTGTTGTAGTGGCGGGGATGGGATTCCTTTCCAGCTGAGACCTCGCCTGCTTGCCCATCACCACGTATATAATAACGTCTTGTTGTTGTAGTGGGGATGGAATTCCTTTCCAGCTGAGACCCCGCCTGCTGGCCCATCACCACGTATATAATAACCTTGTTGTTGTAGCGGGGATGGAATTCCTTTCCAGCTGAGACCTCGCCTGCTTGCCCATCACCACGTATATAATAACCTTGTTGTTGTAGCGGGGATGGAATTCCTTTCCAGCTGAGACCCCGCCTGCTGGCCCATCACCACGTATATAATAACCTTGTTGTTGTAGTGGCGGGGATGGGATTCCTTTCCAGCTGAGACCCCGCCTGCTGGCCCATCACCACGTATATAATAACCTTGTTGTTGTAGTGGGGATGGAATTCCTTTCCAGCTGAGACCCCGCCTGCTGGCCCATCACCACGTATATAATAACCTTGTTGTAGTGGGGATGGAATTCCTTTCCAGCTGAGACCCTGCCTGCTGGTCCATCACCACGTATATAATAACGTCTTGTTGTTGTAGCGGGGATGGGATTCCTTTCCAGCTGAGACCTCGCCTGCTGGCCCATCGCCACGTATATAATAACCTTGTTGTTGTAGTGGCGGGGATGGGATTCCTTTCCAGCTGAGACCTCGCCTGCTTGCCCATCACCACGTATATAATAACGTCTTGTTGTTGTAGTGGGGATGGAATTCATTTCCAGCTGAGACCCCGCCTGCTGGCCCATCACCACGTATATAATAACCTTGTTGTTGTAGCGGGGATGGAATTCCTTTCCAGCTGAGACCTCGCCTGCTGGCCCATCACCACGTATATAATAACGTATTGTTGTTGTAACTGCTCTCTCGCTGGTTCTGCAGTTCCACTGCTGGATTCTGTTTTTTTTCTGCCTGAGGACGACCACTTGTGTTGCGATCGAAACGTCGTGACTTAGTTTATTTTATACCAACGTGACGACTTTACCGGAAGAACCAAAGAGTATGGACTTATATCTCTCGTCTTGACGCCGTTGTGGCTGGGGCCAGTCCCAGGACAATGCCATCACAAACATGCTTCTATCACAGTGCCAGTGATGGTCATAATAATCTGAGTCGATGAATGTTAGCACGTGGGATTTCGCGACCAAGTAACTCATTGGGGCAATCGTGAAGGGGCCCTACTAATAATCGACTGTGTGTCGGGCTGCTAGTGATGGGATTTAACGACACCAAGCCTGTAATTATGATATATGCTCAAAATGTCCCCCCTCAATACTTTGCTATAAAATAGATTTATGTTTACGTGATTGTGGTTACGGTTATGGTTGTACTTTATTAATCCCCAATCTCGGCTATTAAATACAATGAAACAAGAAAAGGTAAAAAAATAAAAAAAACAGAGCAATGTAAATACAATACACTAGTAGACATTATTGTTAGAAAATACATTAAAAAGTCCATCCTAAGTGCTAGTGATTTTTTATATTTTAGGCAGGAAATTCGTTTTCAAATGTAGATGTTTTTTCTGGGGGGGGTCTCCCATACCCCCTGGAAGATTTGATCCCCACCAATGTTGACTCCACGGCTACGGCCTTGAACGGCACACTAATATATGTTATAACTATTTCAGCTTGTCAACTATTTGTGTCTTCCCCGTTGCTGATGTGCTACACGCACAGCAGCAGGTAACTCATGTAAACTAAACGCTTTTGCTTATTTTACACACCAGGTGCAAGGCCCCGCTCAGCTGCGGTGTCGTCACTCTTGTTCAGAAGCGACACCCTGTCCATCGAAAATTATATCAGCTCAACCACGTGGTGGGATTGTCATCACCACCACGTGGCGGCATCGTCATCGTCATCACCACCACGTGGCGGCATCGTCATCGTCATCACCACCACGTGGCGGCATCGTCATCACCACCACGTGGTGGCATCGTCATCGTCATCACCATCACGTGGTGGCATCGTCATCGTCATCACCACCACGTGGTGGCATCGTCATCATCAGCATCGTCACCACCGTGTTGAAATTTATACATCAGCAGCCAAAGACGCTGAACACGTGGTGACGATGTTGATCCTCAATGTGGAGGGGAAAGCCGGAGGAGCCGGAGACAAGTCCACGCAGTGACCACCACGGGGAGAGAGACGCAGACTTCAAGTATACAGCAGCAGGCATCGTCAGGGTCGGGATTGAACCCACGACCTCCTGTATACCAGGCGAGGTAGTCAACATCTCCTAGCCACCGTGATGATGATGAGAGAGAGACGCAGACTCCAAATCTACAGCAGCAGCAGCAGGCATCGTTGGGGTCGGGATCGAACCCACGATCTCCTGCGTACCAGGCGAGGTAGTTAACATCTCCTAGCCCCCGCTGTGTGTGTGTGTCAGATTAAAGCCCAGCTGGAAGGGGTAGAGAGAGAGAGAGAAACGGGGTGTGGGGGTGGTTAGCCTCGAGGCTGCAGGGACCCAGAGTAGCAGTGGAGAGGGCATGGCAGCACGGGGAGAGTCGTGGTTAATAAAGCGTCAGGCCGACTTGTCAACACCGGCACGGGGGTGGCATTTGTAGCGAGCCAGCTACAGATTCCAGCCCCTAGCACCAGGCCACCCCGTCGGGCGATTGAACCATCGCATAAACAACGTCAACACCACCATCATCATCACCATCATCATCACCAACATTATCGCCACCACCCATCGCCATCATCACCATCATCATGTTCACCCCCATCATCATCACAATCATCATCGTTACTATCATCGCCACTATCATCGCCACCATCATTATCGTCACCACCATCATCATCGTCATTACCACCACCACTGCCACCATCATCATCACCACAGCCACATCATCATCACCACCATCACCATCAGCATTGTCAGCATCAGCTTCAACATGAACACCACCGCGATCAACACAGTAGTCATCATCATCTCCATCACCAACATCATCTCCATCTCCAACATCATCATCTCCATCACCAACATCATCTCCATCACCAACATCATCATCTCCATCATCATCATCTCCATCATCATCTCCATCACCATCATCTCCAACATCATCATCATCATCTCCATCACCAACATCATCATAATCTCCATCACCAACATCATCATCATCATCTCCATCACCAACATCATCATCATCATTACCAACATCATCATCATCATCTCCATCACCAACATCATCATCATCATCTCCAGCATCATCATCATCATCTCCATCACCAACATCAACATCATCATCATCATCTCCATCATCATTATCATCACCACCAACATCATCATCATCACCAACATCATCTCCATCACCAACATCATCATCATCTCCATCACCAACATCATCATCATCATCATCTCCAACATCATCATCATCATCACCAACATCATCACCAACATCATCATCATCTCCATCACCAACATCATCATCATCATCATCTCCATCACCAACATCATCATCTCTATCACCAACATCATCATCACCAACATCATCATCTCTATCTCCAACATTATCATCATCTCCATCACCAACATCATCATCATCTCCATGACCAACATCATCATCATCATCTCCATCACCAAAATCATCATCATCATCATCTCCAACATCATCATCTCCAACATCATCATCATCTCCATCACCAACATCAACATCATTATCATCACCAACATCATCTCCAACATCATCATTATCTCCATCACCAACCCTAATTCCACGGGGTTGATAGCCCCTATCCCATCAAAAACATCATCACTGACATCATCATCATCATCGACACCATTAACATCATCAGCATACCATCATGACCACCACCACCATCACTACAACCACCATCACTACCCCCAGCATCACCACAATCACGACCACCACCGTCACCACCACCAATTCACCATCAACATCAGCAACATCACCACCATCTACACCACCACCACCACCAGACTTGTCAATAAACATCTGGGACAGTTCATCTGCATTGGTTCAAGCACAGCCTGGCACTTCTGCTGATGAGACACAGAGTGTCAAAACCGCTCCAGGATTGTGCTTGAACCGATGATGCTGCCTAGCCGATGCTGATGGATCAGCCGAGCGGGCTGCTTGAGGTTATTCTGCGAGTATTTATAAATTAGCTCCGTCTCACAGCGGGAGGTGCCACCCCCGTGTCCCCACCCCCCCGTTTGTCTGTCCCCGTGTCTCCATCCCCGTGTCTCCATCCCCGTGTCCCCACCGTGTCTCCATCCCCGTGTCCCCACCGTGTCCCCACCGTGTCTCCATCCCCGTGTCTCCATCCCCGTGTCCCCACCGTGTCTCCATCCCCGTGTCCCCACCGTGTCCCCACCGTGTCTCCATCCCCGTGTCTCCATCCCCGTGTCCCCACCGTGTCTCCATCCCCGTGTCCCCACCGTGTCCCCACTGTGTCTCCATCCCCGTGTCCCCACCGTGTCTCCATCCCCGTGTCCCCACCGTGTCCCCACCGTGTCTCCATCCCCGTGTCTCCATCCCCGTGTCCCCACCGTGTCCCCACCGTGTCTCCATCCCCGTGTCTCCATCCCCGTGTCCCCACCGTGTCTCCATCCCCGTGTCTCCATCCCCGTGTCCCCACCGTGTCTCCATCCCCGTGTCTCTATCCCCGTGTCCCCACCGTGTCTCCATCCCCGTGTCTCCATCCCCGTGTCCCCACCGTGTCCCCACCGTGTCTCCATCCCCGTGTCTCTATCCCCGTGTCCCCACCGTGTCTCCTTCCCCGTGTCTCCATCCCCGTGTCCCCACCGTGTCTCCCCGTGTCTCTATGCCCCCGTGTCTCTCCCCGTGTCTCCCCCCGTGTCTCTATGCCCCCGTGTCTCACCCAGAAGACGAGGCTGTACAGGAGGAGCAGAGTCTTGAGGCAGGCGATGGCCGGCTTCGTCTGTAGCCTCCGAGACGGAGCCATCACTCAGACACGCGCGGAGACAGAGACACAGGGAGAGACACGGGGAGAGACGCGGGGACAGAGACACGGGGAGAGAGACGCGGGGGCAGAGAGAGACGCGGGGACAGAGAAACACACGGGGAGAAAGAGACACGGGGAGACTCACACGGGGGGAGAAAGAGACACGGGTAGACACAAAAGGGAGAGACACAGGGAGAGAGAGAGAGACACAGGGAGAGAGAGACAGGGAGAGAGACACACAGGGAGAGAGAGACACAGGGAGAGAGACACAGGGAGAGAGAGACACAGGGAGAGAGACACAGGGAGAGAGACACAGGGAGAGAGACACAGGGAGAGAGACACAGGGAGAGAGAGAGAGAGACACAGGGAGAGAGACGATTGTTTAAATGCCCTTGGCAGCAACAGCAGAGTTGCTTCTCCCGGCTCTGAGAGAGTGGGAGAGAGATTCTACCACTGTAAGTTTGCCTTCGTCACTTGGTAAAGAGAGAGAGAGAGAGTGGGAGAGAGAGGGGGGTGGGGGAGAGTTGGAGAGAGAGGGAGAGTGGAGAGAGAGTGGGAGAGAGAGGGGGGTGGGGGAGAGTTGGAGAGAGAGGGAGAGTGGAGAGAGTGGGAGAGGGGGGGGGGAGAGAGTGGGAGAGGGAGATTGGAGAGAGAGAGTGGGAGAGACAGTGGGAGAGTGGGAGAGAGGGGGGGGAGAGTGGAGAGAGAGGGTGGAAGACTGAGTGAGAGAGGGGGGATGGGGGAGAGAGAGGGAGAGAGAGAGTGGGAGAGTGGGAGAGAGAGTGGGAGAGAGAGGGAGAGAGAGAGGGGGAGAGAGTGGGAGAGTGGGAGAGAGTGGGAGAGAGAGGGAGAGAGAGTGGGATAGAGAGGGGGAGAGTGGGAGAGAGGGGGAGAGAGGGGGAGAGTGGGAGAGAGAGTGGGAGAGTGGAAGAGAGAGGGGGAGTGTGGGAGAGAGGGGGAGAGTGGGAGAGAGGGGGGAGAGAGGGGGAGAGGGGGAGAGTGGGAGAGAGAGTGGGAGAGTGGAAGAGAGAGGGGGAGAGTGGGAGAGAGGGGGAGAGTGGGAGAGAGAGTGGGGGAGAGTGGGAGAGAGAGGGGGAGAGTGGGAGAGAGGGGGAGAGTGGAGAGAGAGGGGGGGAGAGTGGGAGAGAGAGGGGGAGAGTGGAGAGAGAGTGGGAGAGTGGGAGATTAGAGAGAGAGGGAGAGAGTGGAGAGAGAGTGTGAGAGAGAGAGGGAGAGTGGAGAGAGAGAGTGGGAGAGACAGTGGGAGAGTGGGAGAGAGGGGGGGAGAGTGGGAGAGAGAGAGTGGAGAGAGAGGGAGAGAGAGGGGGAGAGAGTGGGAGAGTGGGAAAGAGAGGGGGGGGGGGGGAGTGGAGAGAGAGAGTGGGAGAGAGATTTTACCACTGGAGGTTTGCCTTCGTCACTTGGTAAAGAGAGAGAGTGGAGAGAGAGAGAGTGGGAGAGAGAGAGGGGGGGAGAGAGTGGGAGAGAGGGGGGGGGGAGAGTTAGAGAGAGGGGGGGAGAGAGTGGGAGAGAGAGAGTGGGAGAGAGATTGGAGAGAGAGAGTGAGAGAGTGGAGAGACTTTGACTTTTAAACAACTTGTATTCCCGCCAGCAGCAAAAGCACTGGAGGCGAGTTCGATATGAAACACACAAAGTCACCAGCAACACAAATCCACGCGCTGTGGCGCTAAAAAGCACCGCGCACAACATGAAATAAAAGTCACGTGGCTGTGGTGGTCATCGCGCACGCCACGTTGACGAGCGAGCGCTTCAGAAGGTGAACACGTGGGGGGTGCCGTCCACGCTGGTACAGAGAGGGGCTTGTCCGGCTCCCCAGCGTTCTAAGAAGACGCGCTGCACATCACCGACACGTGGGTGTGTCACGTGGCGTGCTCCAGCCGGAGCCGCGCCTTGAGCAGGCCCCTGAACACCGGAAGCAGCACAGAGCAGCCGTCAGTGTCACCTTGCGGCATCTTATTCCTCGTTCTGTACACCGCCAACTTCGCCGGGGCACAGGCGAAGTTGGCGAGGTCATGGCGTTTGTTAGCCAGGTAAGGCACCACCCCATATACGAAGCTGCTGTTGTAGAAGGGCACCCCCAGTTTCCTGAAGATGTCCCCCAAAAGGCGGAACATTGAGTTTGAGCCGCTGGCAGCGAAAGTACCGGTGGGGCAGATCCTCCCTGGCACCGCAGGAGATGCACCAAGTCTGTTACCCCCGGCGAGATTCGGCTGAGCCACGCGGCCGATGGCAACGTGCGGTGCGCCAACCTCCACCGGAGGTCACCGCAGAGTTTGGCTACTGGAGACTTTGTACATTTGTTTCCACTGAGGGGCGGTCGCAATGAGCGGGGAGAGAAATGGTCTCTCCGTTTTGTGCCCGGCAGGTCGGCCAGGTCCCGGGAATGCAGCGCCTTGACACAGCCACGTGTAGAGAGCGCTGTGTTTGGGGCACTCTTCAGGGGCAACGTTCCTGCAGACTCGGAGCTTCGGTAGCTTGCCGGAGTCGCTGTGGCCAGGGGGCGGCGTGCAGGAGAAGCACAACTCCGGGAAGGAGGAGGAGGGGGGTGGAGGACCGCCTCCGTCCCCCGGCGCCTCCAGCTTCAGGCGCAGCTCCTTAATGGCACGGAGCGACGTCCCGCAGCGGATTCTCCCCGGCGAGCATGGAGCGGAGTCCCCTAGCGGTGCTGGCGATCTCAGCCGCGGTCTTCCACTCGGGCTGGTGGTGGACCTGCACGAGGTGGAAGGCCGTCCGCGGCCCTGCCGATGTGACGCATTGAGGCCCAGGGTCCTCTCTTTTATGACCCCCTGTAAGAGGCCGTTGCAGAACGAGGGGCTCGTCCAGGAACCGCGCGAGGCCGTAGGGCGCCGCGCGCCTTCCGCCCCGCTCGAAGCTCCGCCACGCGTCCAAGAGGCTCCGGCGATAACCCGGCAGCCTCGCGCAGTCGACCAGGCTCGGGTCCGTCAGGAAGAGCTCCTGTCCGTACCCACCCACCCCCGCCTTCCTCGGCAGGGCGAGGGGCCGGCGACTTCCGGGGCAGCTCCTCCCGGCCGTACGGCGGCCGCCTGACGGCCACGAGCCTGAAGCTCGCGACCCCGGCGGCGACGGCGTCCACCGGACCTCCCGGCCGCCCTCGGCCACCGGCAGGCGGAGGACGCCCGGCCTGAGCCGGTGCTTCCCGTGCCAGGCGAAGCGCGCGAGTGAGCGGTCGACTCCGGTGAGTAGCCAAGCGGGGGGCTGGAGGGCCTTGGGTCTCGTGCCACAGCGCGGACGCTGCCAGAGCGTCAGCGACGAGCACGCGGCCCCTGAATGAGATCTGCGGAGCGAGGCATGGTGCCCATGTCAGTAAGTTAGCCTCCATTGTGTCGGCCAGCTCGGTCCGGTTGTTCAGAGCGACGTCGTCACGTGGTTAGCCCACTGTGGTTAGCCCACTGTGGTTACCCCACTGTGGTTACCCCACTGTGGTTACCCCACTGGTTACCTCACTGTGGTTACCCCACTGTGGTTACCCCACACTGTGGTTACCCCACCGTGGTTACCCCACTGGTTACCCCACTGTGGTTACCCCACTGTGGTTACCCCACTGTGGTTACCTCACTGTGGTTACCTCACTGTGGTTACCCCACTGGTTACCACACTGTGGTTACCTCACTGGTTACCACACTGTGGTTACCCCACTGGTTACCCCACTGTGGTTACCCCACTGTGGTTACCCCACTGTGGTTACCCCACTGTGGTTACCCCACTGTGGTTACCCCACTGTGGTTACCCCACTGTGGTTACCCCACTGTGGTTACCCCACTGGTTACCCCACTGTGGTTACCCCACTGGTTACCCCACTGTGGTTACCCCACTGTGGTTACCCCACTGTGGTTACCCCACTGTGGTTACCCCACTGTGGTTACTCCACTGTGGTTACCCCACTGGTTACCCCACTGTGGTTACCCCACTGGTTACCCCACTGTGGTTACCCCACTGTGGTTACCCCACTGTGGTTACCCCACTGTGGTTACCCCACTGTGGTTACCCCACCGTGGTTACCTCACTGTGGTTACCCCACCGTGGTTACCCCACTGTGGTTACCCCAGGTGAACCCCCAGGTGCTTGACTCCGTCGTCCCGCCAAGCGACTCCCCCTGGGAGGGGCACAGCGCGAACGTCGCCTCACGACCCCAATCACAGAGGGGGGGTGGGGCCTCGCACTTGGCCCAGTTGACCCTGGCGGAGGAGGCCCTCACTCGCGTACGCTGCAACCGCCTGGCAGAGCGTCGAGGCCGCGTGACGTCACGTTGTTGAGGACGCGTGACGTCACGTCGTTGAGGACGATGCGTCACGTCGTCCTCAACGACGTGATGCATAGTCCTCAATGATGCGTCACGTCGTCCTTAACGACGTGACGCGTCGTCCTGAACGACGTGATGCGTCATTGAGGACGACGTGTCACGTGATGCGTCGTCCTGAACGTCGTGATGCATCGTCCTGAACGACGTGATGCGACGTTCAGGACGACGCGTCACATCGTCCTGAACGACGCGTCACGTCGTCCTGAACGTCGTGATGCATCGTCCTGAACGACGCGTCACGTCGTCCTGAACGACGTGACGCGTCGTTGAGGACGACGTGTCACGTGATGCGTCGTCCTGAACGACGTGACGCGACGTTCAGGACGACGTGACGTCACGACGTCCTCAACGACGTGATGCATAGTCCTCAATGATGCGTCACGACGTCCTGAACGACGTGACGTCACGTCGTTGAGGACGACGTGACGTCACGACGTCCTCAACGTCTGACCCCCCTCGGCAATTCACGGCGCCGCAGTGCCATGCGGCCTGGGCTGGGGGGGGGGGCCTGCCAATTCCCTGGCCTTGAGAAACCGCGGAGCCCTCGGGTGAAAACCCAGGGGCAGGTGACCCCCCCACCCCCCACGAGGCCCCACGTGAGTGCGTGTGGTGATGTGGGGGGCGGTGGGGGGCGGTGGGGGGCGGGGGGGGGAGCCGGGTGGGCCCGGACTCGGCGGAGCGACTTCGCTGGCGTGGCATCACAAGTGTGTCCAGGTACTCGTGGCTCACCCTGCCAAAGGCCTTCTCCTGGTCCAAGAAGAGGAGGCCAAGTCCATGTTGTGCGCTTCTGAGAGTGGAGAGAGAGAGGGGGGGAGTGGGGAGAGAGTGGGGGGGAGTGGGAGAGAGTGGGGGGGAGTGGGAGAGAGAGTGGGGGGGAGTGGGAGAGCGTGGGAGAGAGAGAGGGGGGGAGTGGGAGAGAGAGGGGGGGAGTGGGAGAGAGAGGGGGGAGTGGGAGAGAGAGTGGGGGGGAGTGGGAGAGCGTGGGGGGGAGTGGGAGAGAGAGTGGGGGGGAGTGAGAGAGAGAGTGGGGGGGAGTGGGGGAGAGAGAGGGGGGGGGAGTGGGAGAGAGAGGGGGGGGAGTGGGAGAGAGAGGGGGGGGGAGTGGGAGAGAGAGTGGGGGGGTGTGGAAGAGAGAGAGGGGGGGGGGTGTGGGAGAGAGAGTGGGAGAGAGAGAGGGGGGGGGAGTGGGAGAGAGAGTGGGGGGGTGTGGGAGAGAGGGGGTGGAGTGGGAGAGAGAGAGAGGGGGGGGAGTGGGAGAGAGAGTGAGAGAGGGGGTGGAGTGGGAGAGAGTGGGGGGGAGTGGGAGAGAGAGAGTGAGAGAGAGAGTGGGGGGGAGTGGGAGGGAGTGGGAGAGAGAGAGTGAGAGAGAGAGAGGGGGGAGTGGGAGAGAGGGAGAGAGAGAGAGGGGGTGGAGTGGGATGCCACTGGACGAGGGCTGTCACGAGCTGGTGTGTGTGTGGAGTCAGCTGGCCACCTTCCAACTGAAGGCCGCCCAAATGTTCCTGCACGCCGTTCCGGCACCGGCCTGGAGCGTCACGGCCTCCTTCCTCCTGAAACAGCTGGGGGGTCTGCAGTGTTCCAAGCAACTATTCTACGTGGACCTGCAGGGCCTCCCACTGGGACAGCTGCCACCCTTCTACAGGAGCGTCCCTGCCGGCGTGGAGCTCCCTCGCCGTCGGGAGGCTGAACCAACCGCGATCGGCCGAGGATCTGGTCTTCGAACCGATCCTCAGGAACCCGCAGACAAAGCACTGCCATCCACCGCCGCCACCCCAGGCATGGAGAGGCGCCTCGCCAACGCGCGGCTCACCGGGACGGGAGATCTGGTGGAGCCTGAACCACGGGGCCGGTAGCTCGGACCGGCAGACGTGGCCGCAAAGACGGGGGGGGGGGGGGCTGCAGTCGTTCCGGGTGGCTGCCCGGATCCTGGCCGAAGCCAAGGGGGCCTTCTCAGCGGCAGCGGCGGGGAGAACGCCCCCCATAGGCGTTGGGGATGACGAGGCCCCTCTCGGTCCCCCTCCACCGGAGCTCTCCGTCGTGCCACTGCATCGCCAGTGCCGACAAACGAAGACGGATCACGACCTGTGCCGGCTGGAAGACCTGCCGGAGGTGGCCTTCGCAAACGTCAAGAGGAAGGTGCTCTACTCCTACGTGGTCTGGTTCCACCAACAGGACACCCTGAGGAGCCACAAGGACCACGCCTGGAGGAGAGCCCTGCCCTGCGTCTCTCCGGAGAGGCCTCGCTGGAGGCAACTCTACTGCAGACCGACGTACAACCGCATCGGCGACCTCAGCTGGAGCATCGCCCACGGCACCGTCACCACCGATGTCTCCCCGGCGCGCTTCACCGACACGTCCCCGGAGTGCCGGTTCTGCGGTAAAGTGGAGACGGTGGCGCACCAATACGTGGAGTGCAAGAGCCTGGACTCGCTGTTCAAGGTCCTGAGAAACATCCTCCTAAGGTTCAGCCTCCACTTCTCCCCGACGGTCCTCATCTTCGGATACCCGAAGGGCGACGGACCCCAACATCTTCAGGGGCTGGTCAACGTGCCCTTCGGCTACGCCAAGCTCGCCATATACAGGGCGAGGAAGGTGGCCCTGGAGGGGCAACGTCCGGCCAGCAGCCTGGGCATCTTCCGCGCTCTGGTCGGAGCCAGGGTGTGGCCGGAGTTCCGCCACGCGCGGCTGACCCACGCCGTGATGGTCTTCAAGGAGCAGTGGGCGCTGGAGGAGGCCGTGTGCTCGGTGGCAGAAGACGGTAGAGAGCTCTGTGCATGCACATTGTGAGCTACCCGTCGGAGGCCGTCTGACTGTGGGAAGGGCTGCGTGCAGGTGCAGCACTTGTCGTAGTTATAAAAAGAGACAGAGAGCGAGAGAGTGAGCGAGAGAGAGCGAAACGGAGTAGGAAGAGAGGGGGGTAGAGAGAGAGGGGGGCAGAGAGGGGGGTAGAGAGAGAGGGGGGCAGAGAGAGAGGGGGGGGCAGAGAGGGGGTAGAGAGGGGGGGCAGAGAGGGGGTAGAGAGGGGGGTCGGAGAGGGGGTAGAGAGAGAGAAGGGGTAAGATGCGTGCAGATGCAGCACTTGTCGTAGTTATAAAGAAAAAAGAGAGAGCGAGAGAGAGCCAAATGGAGTAGGTAGAGAGGGGGCAGAGAGAGAGGGGGGGGGGCAGAGAGGGGGTAAAGAGAGAGGGAAGGGGAAAGATAAAAATAAAATAACAATTTGGGTCTTTCATTTAAAAGGGGGGGGGGGGTTACATAAAGCAAAGCATTAAAAAAACCGAAATGATGAACGGAGCAAAGTGCCAATACACCGAGCACTTCTTGTTTCCTCTGATCGTAAAAAAGAGAGAGTGGGAGGGGGGAGTGGGGGAGAGTGGGGAGTGGGAGAGAGAGTGGGAGAGAGTGGGAGAGAGTGGGAGAGAGAGTGGGAGAGAGAGTGGGAGAGAGAGTGGAGAGAGAGTGGGGAGTGGGAGAGAGAGTGGGAGAGAGAGTGGAGAGTGGGAGAGAGAGAGTGGGAGAGAGTGGGAGAGAGAGTGGGGAGTGGGAGAGAGAGTGGAGAGAGAGTGGGGAGAGAGTGGGAGAGAGTGGAAGAGAGAGTGGGGAGTGGGAGAGAGTGGGGAGAGAGAGTGGGGAGTGGGAGAGAGAGTGGGGAGTGGGATAGAGAGTGGAGAGAGAGTGGAGAGAGGGGAGTGGGGGAGAGAGTGGAGAGAGAGTGGAGAGAGGGGAGTGGGAGAGAGAGTGGAGAGAGAGTGGGAGGGGGGAGTGGGGAGAGAGTGGGAGAGAGAGTGGAGAGAGAGTGGGAGAGAGAGTGGGAGAGAGAGTGGAGAGAGAGTGGGAGAGAGAGTGGAGAGAGAGTGGGGAGTGGGAGAGAGAGTGGA